TGGTTCTCTGTGGTGTGGTCCGGTGAGATCCATGTAGCTGTGTGTATGCGTTTGTGTGGGAATATTGTGCCGCCTATAACCAATTTGTTGAAAGCACATAGGTTTGCAAGTCTCTCCCCATTTTCATTTCTCTCTCCTAGTCCATGTCGTCCAATTACATCTTCATATCCTGTGTTGTCCACTCCAACTTTAGCATTTAGATCTCCCATAAGGATGGTGAGGTCCTTTCGTGAGCACTTTGCTATAATTGATTGCAGCCTTTCATAGAACTGATCTTTATCATCGTCGTTGCTATCATTGGTGGGTGCATAACATTGGATAACATTCATTGTGATCCCTTGCTTCTTTGTTCTGAATGATGCTTTGATTATCCTGGGTCCATGAGATTCCCATCCCACAAGTGCATTTCGTGCTTCTCTGGACAGCATTAGAGCAACTCCCTGAGTGTGTGGCGCATTTTCCCCTTCGTGACCGGAGTACAGCAGCATCTCTCCTGTACCTAGCCTTTGTTGTCCAGTTTGTGTCCAATGGGTTTCGCTGATTCCGAGTACTGCCAAGTTGTATCTCCTCATTTCCATTGCTATTTGGCTGTTCTTTCCTGTCTCCCACATTGTCCCGACGTTCCATGTACCTATAAGGAGTGTTGTTCTGGTTGTTAGAAGGTGCATCGGTCTCGTGACTTCCGAAGAATTTCGGCTTTCATCATGAGACGTCATTATTCCTTCAACTCCCAGGGCAGAGTTTAAATGGTTTGGATTATTTTTTCTGGTTAGCGTTTTTTTAGCGAGTTAGCTTTTCTACGGGATGGGGTCGCTAACCCCATGCCCAACCCTCCTCCTTTGTGTGGGCTTGGGACCGGCAGTAACTCTAGAAGAGCTACAGGCGGAGTTATTACAAAAACATAATAGAATAAATTTTAAAAGACGGGATCACTAACTAACTGACAGAATTTATATACAGCACGATTTTAACTTACTAATTAGATAACAGAACACACTTTAACCTCCAAAATAAAAGTCACGAAATAATCAAATAAGGTCCCAGTTCTTCCAAGTAACCCAAGATAGTCTAGTTCAGATAGAATCCTTGTACTTGATTTAAAAACATAGGTTCAAAATAATTAGACATCAGATATTGTATATTTATCTCTTACCATCTAATGAATACGCATAAATGAATCTTACGAAATATTAAACAAAGGTAACATAACGGTGGGATAGTATGTGACTAAATAGGTAAAAAGAACACGGTTTTCGGATTACGATTAATGGAATTTTCACTTCGTGTGACATCAATGTGAAACGATCAACGAATTAATCAAATATTTGCAGTAGATATTTTCATCACTCATTGTTCCGTCTCGGTGATAATTTCAAATGAAATTGGTTGTTTCTTTTGGACATAATTGACATAATTAATTAATTGGTGTCCAATCATGTGACAGTAAAAATTATCGACATAACTTTTATCTTTATATACTATTTAAACGGTGACTTTGTTTAAGTTGAATCATGATTATATCATAATCAATTCATTCATCATTCAAAAAAAGTTTTTTCAGGTATAGACAATAGCTAGTAAATCTTTAAAAATGTAGACGCATCGGACTCTCTGTCTATAAAATGTTCGGGGCTCTCAGTAACGTGAACTGACAACCTTATACAAAAATAACTATATTTACCTGATCTTGCTATGAACTTATATCATCCAGCCATAACCCAGTGATTATTAATTCACTTATTTACTTTCTCCCATACAAGTTGATTGAGTCCTATCAAGTCAGACTTCTCATAAAAAATTTATCAAGAACTTTTTGAATGTAGTCGCTAGTAATCACAAGACAACTGTTTAGCTTAGTATTTTGTAGAAATTAGCTCAGTTAGAAAATATTTGCGTTATGGGTGAATGCTGATCCGTACCAAATGTCGAGTGAACTTGATATCTACTTCATCATATCCAGCTGTATAAAGTTTCTATCACCTAACCAAAAGTTTCTGTTATCATGCTATTTAGATGTGATATTGATTATATCTGCTTAATTTTAGTCCATTCTCGGTATAGCTTGATCATCATCCAATTATTATTCGCTATTTAATTAAATCATCTAGGCTTATAATAAGTAATATAAGTAAGTTCAATCTCTCATGCATTTACACCAATCTATACATCTCATTTATGAGAGCTCAAAAGTAACATACTATTAAATCATAATAAAAAATTATTTAACTAGATGACTTTAAATACCTGCAGGTGACCTTGACCGCTGAAAACAAGGACACCGATTTTATCTGTATAGAGAATTAGTAAAATAAAAGATGAAATCCCTGTCCTTTTAAGAAGTAATCAATATGGTTTTGACGATATAGTTAACATTCTGTATAATCACTTTATTTTACCAAGTCTATTTACCGTTGAATTATAGATTGATGATGCTGACCATATAGAACTTATTTTTGTTTTAATTACGTTCTGGATTTGAATAAATACTGAACAAAAGAATAAATCTAAGGGGTTCTTTTTTCCAAGACACTAAAGTAAACATTTAGTTACGTTTGTTTATCCACAAATAAAAAATCTTAAATTCCATTCATAAAATTAAAACCTCCACTCTCTGATAGCTTTGTTCTCCTGCTTTAGAACTGTTATACTCGCAAGGGAGAATGAACAAAAAAGAATGATCGAGTTCTAGTTTTCCATTTGATTCAGAGGCATAAAAGGACCTAATAATTTATAAGCCACTTAAAAAGATTAGTTTCATGAAACAGTATGAGGAATAGATCATGATTAACAATCAGTATACGATAAAAAGAGAATAACTAATCAAGATAGGATGGTAAAAATTTGAATTCTGTTTGTTTCGCAGCTGGTGCTTCATTATGAACTGAGAATTGCCTAAATATCCTTCGATTTCTCAGGAATCAACTTTACCTGTAGCACTTTTACGGTTACTGCCCGTCCCAAGCCCAGAAATAGAGGAAGGCCTGAGCATAGGGTCACTCATCCGATTCCGTAGAAAATAACCTTGTAAAACAAACACTAACCAGAAAAAACAATTAAAACCAACTAAACCCTGTCCTTCGAGTTGAAAGATCTCAGAAGAATTATGACGACTGATGATGCAGCTCAGACTCATTAGAAATCACGAGGCTGATACCCATTCTGACATCAAGAAAACAACTAATGTGTGTACATAGGATATCCAGACAATATGGGAGATTGGGGGTACCAGCAAACCAGCTGTGAAAATGAGGAAACAAAACCTGGCGGTTATCGGAATAAATGAAATTCATAAGATTCAAGCTGGAAAGAAAAAAATGGCTTCGGGAAAAAGATGCTGTTGTACTCTGCACATGAAGAACAAATTTGACCCAAAAACACGAGTGGTTGCACTGATGCTATCCAAAGAGATACAAAGAGCACTTATAGGATGGAAATCCCATGGATACTGAATCATCAAAGCATCCTCCAAAACAAAGAAGAAAGATGCAGACGTAAAGGCGAGGATTTTCAATGCAAGGTTGGCACTCCTACAGTTGAAGAACATGTGAAACTTTAAACAATTGTCAACCAATATCAGAGTCAAAATCTTTAGTAAAAACGTCAAGACAGTTTTACTGTACGGAGCTGAAAATTGGAGAGCTGCTAAAATCATCATCAAAAATGTAAAAGTATTTCTAAGCAATTGTCTACTCAAGAAAGATACTGAATGTCCGTTGACGGATACCATCAGCAACAACCTGCTGTGGGAGAGAACAAACCAGCGTCCATCTGAATAGTTAATTAGGAAAAAACGTTGGAACAAGGATAGGACATATATTGAGGAAATCAATAGACTATATCATGAGGCAGTCGCTAACTTGGAATTTTGAAGGGAAACGGAAAAGAAAAAAACCAAGGAATACGCTTCATCGGTAGTCAGAAACAGAAATCAGGAAAATGAGTAGCGACTGAGAAGGATTTTTCATGACAGAGTTGGAAGGAGGATGCTGGTGGGCGGCTTGTGCTCCTCCACGATGGATAGCAAAATCAAATAACAAAGTCTGAGGAATTCTTTAGTGATATGGGAACTCCTAAATTTATTTAGGTGATTTGTAAAAATTAATTAAATCTAAACTGAGATCACATAGAAAACTTTTAGAAACCAAAAAACACAGACAGCATTTACGCTCCGGTTTGGAACTTTGATAACATCCAAGAGGTCAAAACCGAGAGTTTTCAGTCATGCAGCATGAGTACTCAGGCTAATAAATTACTTTGTAACAAATGTATTCTGTGATCTGTATGAAAATAATCGCCAAAAATGAATCGGCTGGGATCAATATAGGTAACTGAAAGAGAAAATAACCACGAAAATACTTTTAAATTGGCACTTATTTATTTTAGTTAACAGATGTTGATTGTTTATCCTTACTGATAGCTCCATGTTCTTCAATTGTGGTTTTAATTATACATGAGTTATTTAAGTCATTGTTAATTATTTACGAAGATAATCATTCGTAATAAATTATTATATTGGATAACATTTGATAGTATGCATTGGTGAATTTAAGGTTGAATTCTTAATGTGTGTGTCAAAATACTAACATGCACGTATATTCAGTTGATTTGTCTAATATAACATGGAAAATTTGTCCGATATTATACTGCTTATTATTATCTATCATAAAGTTAGCCGACGTCTAAATACCAACCCGTCCTACTTGATTTTATTTGGCGATGCACTATGAATAGTTTTATTCTGAGTGTTAGAAAGTCTATATTACTGTGAGATGTAATTCTCCCATTGAATTTGGCTAGACGACATTAGGATTTACGTACTCTGTATATATACCTTAACAATAATTACAAAAGTTTGATCATTTCAGATTGTTTAAAAATAACATTGCTAAATCATTACTAGTTAAGTATTATGTATAGAAAGTTAATAGCTACGTGATACAGAATGTGTTTGCACTTAAATTTTATTCGTTCGTTAATACGTATATTATTTTCTTCATGTTCAAAGTCTTAATAATGATGGTTACATATAGATTCTCATTAATAATAGAAGTTCAGACAGAAATACGACATGACATTCTGTGAAAATGAATAGAAACTAACAAAACATCATAATTTACAGCTTTTCCTCGGTTCGAAGCAATTTCAAAGTTGTATTCGGAGGTACAGTCACACCAGGATTCATCATTTTGCAAAACAAATGACAACTACCTTCGTATAAATTACACTGAACGTCATTTACACTGACTAATTCCTAACTGCGACGTTAAAATCCCAAGCTCTTTTAATTATGAAGAATATCGACCGCCCACGATTCTTGATTGACCAATAAGAACAACAACAACTGAATTGATTTTTAAACTAACCAATAAGATGTTAACGATTTCCCCAATTCTTTCATCCATTCACACAAAGCTCATAAAACCTTGATGGTAATATTTCTGAAATAAAATGGAAAAAGTCTTTGATTTACAGTCGATATGATCGGCACGGACTTCTTAGATTATTTATCAAAGTTCCAAGTTGCGACCTATGTCGGAGTTGAAGATTTTGCAGACAAATTTAATTTTCTCATTACAGTTATGGTTCTTATGCTTTGCACAACAATTGTAACTGTTAAACAGTATATGATGAAACCGATATCATGCTACATGGCAACAGATTTGGGTGGAAAAAACTTATTAGATTATGTTGAGAACTATTGTTGGGTTCAGGGCACTGTCCCTATATCATATTCTGGTCGAGTACCAGAGACAGATGAAGGCTGGGCGGAATTAGAGAAACACAAACTACGTAAGTATTTAATTTTCATGTTTTAAGCATAAGTTTCATGTCTTGTCCTAGGTTTATTTACAACCTCTAATAAATAATTGAATTCATCATGTAATATATTCGGACGTTCTTAAAAGTCAACTTCATCAAGAAAAATAATTAGTTAAATGATTAGTCGATAATTGCTTGTTTTAAAGCTAACAAAAAAGAATTATTGTTACAACATTTTAATCTACTATATCTTAAGTATTCGCTGACCATTTAGAGGATATACATAGGGAAAACATAACTGGAAATTTTTTTCTGGTGTCAGTTTATGAGCTTATCTGTTTAGTAATTGCATTGATTAATCTATTATAACACAGTATTAATTCTATATTGTAAATAAATTCAATCGTTGCTAGTATCTATGTGATTAACTAAAAACTGATCACCAATCATTCATTTTTTCACTACTTGAGTCACTTTCATTATTGGTTCTATTACAACCTAACTGTGTTGGTGACAGTTGCGGCTTGTAATAAACATGAATAATTGAAATTTTAGATCACTGAGTAAATCATATTGCAGATAGATTAACTGCTACACAAGTTATATACCAATAACTGTCTAAATTACTGTTTTCCACTTCTAAAGGAGTTTTGCATGTTTTAAGCCATATATACCTGATAATTATTTGCAATATTTAAACCAATTAGTCCCCTTGATAGATTTTGATACTGTAATAAGAAGACGAAGATTATTTTTATTATTATTATCCTTGTCTACTCTTACCCCCTATTTGCAATATCTCAAACCGACCATAAAACTGGTTATATTCTATCTAATAAAAAACAAATTAATCCTAATTTTGCAGTGGTTATGATTTATGGTTACTGTGTTTCTTGATGCGACTTCAATAAGTAGATTAAGACTGATATCATATATAAATGATTTTTGAGTTTCAATTGAGGTCATGAGCCGACCAATGTTAGGCCTAGGTTAGAGTCCCGCGTGCAGGGTTGTGGATTCACACTGCCAAGGAGTCTCCTACCGGTAAAAATCAGCCGTCCAGCGCTTCCAAGTTTTCGTTGGTTGTCTAGCACTGATCGGTTCATGATCTTAATTAATTCATATATATATATATATATATATATATATATATATATATATATGTCAACTATGTCAACTACTTTTGTGCACTAATGATCTGTCGCCGTGTTTCTGGCAGGCGAAGTGTTTAGTTCTGTTTGAGAAGTTGAGTTGTTAAACATCTTCAGTTAGGTGGCATCGCTTGTTTATCTTTGCCTTCATAACATGATAAACTATTAATTTCTGTCAACTTAAAATGATCTGCTGCTTTGAAGAAGTCAGTACTTTATTAATGTTTCAATAATTAGATTCATATAGGTAGCTTGTTATAATTTTCAAATTATTTAATTTTAGTTTTAACCAACAAAAACTCGTACAAATCAATATATGGTCAGAATACTATCGGATCGACCAGATTGTACAACTGAAAACCAACATTATTTTATTTCATTATAAACAAGCTTCTTTTTTCTATCTGGAAACTACCTAAATGTCTACTTTATTTTATGTAGTTTATTATCAGTGGGTACCATTTGTTCTTGGCCTACAGTGTATTTTATTCTATTTACCTCGATTAATTTGGCAAATGATATGCTATAACAAAGTTGGAACAGATGTACAACATTTGGTCTTATGTGCTAATCAAGCAGTACATGCTAATGATGAACAAAGAACTAAAATGGTACAACATTTGGCAAAAACATTAGAACAATTATTATTTCAGGTAAGTCTATGAATGTTTATATAATGATTTTTCCTAAGTATACTATAATGCTATCAGGATTTTTGTTCAAATGACCTCAATAACTTTTTTATATAATTCAGTAATCACACTCACATTTATATGCACAGATTTACGAGTTCTAATAATTCTATTTTACATGTTAAACTGTAATAGGCAAAGACAAATTTAACTGAAGACGTGGTGGTTGAAAAAGGAGAGATTCAGTAGTTAGGTAACTGACGACGACCCTTTGTAGACTATAAAATTGACTGACTGTCGTTTCTTGATAACTTTGAACCTATTTTCTATGAACTGATATTTTAGTGTAACAGTTTCCGTGTTCATTTTATTAGTTTTTTTAGTTGACATAGAGACAGGTTAATTCTACTTTCTTTTCTCTGTATTAAATCAAGTAATAAGAATTTGATAGATCCTAATTTGGTGAGAAAATTGCTCGTTTCCTGCTGTTTGCTTTAGAAATAACTAGGTTGAGACTATTCTTCAAATGAAGTTGTATCTAATACATCCTATAAAAGTATATAAATTTTTTATAAAGCATTCAATGTAACTAAATCGGTTATGATGAAGAATTGTCTAGCTGTCCAGATTTGGAAAAGTTCACTGAACCCAAAATAAAACTATTCACGTGTTAAACACTTACATTCTAGTTACCCCAAATAGAATATATATACATTCCAGATAATCATATTATCTACTTTTGACGACTCTATATCATTGTTTTATATTACAGTATTATAATTCCTCAGTAAGTACTTCTAGCTATTAAGCAAATACTTAATATTTTGCTCTGCATACTCTTCAAACCAATGACTTATGATTCTTTCAAACCTTCATAGAATTATCCGACTATCGTTTAAAATTCACTCTATAACGGTGCTTTTCTCCTTGAAACCTACTGATATTTTCACATCTATAAACCGCTGAAAAGTTGCTATTAAAACCGAAGCCAATCGTTTAATGAATCATACTATTTTACCCAATCAAACAAAAGTAAAAATGTTTCACCGATGAAGCACTGATACTTCTAAGAGAATAGTTCATCTGATGCATTTAACTGTATCACTGAAAATATATTTGTGCACTAAAGCTTAAAGTGATGATCCCGAATTTCAGTGATCATCCTTACGAAATAGTGGTACAAGTTTATTTATCAATCAGTCTTCATAATCACACCTCTGTTATTATATTCAATTGTGTAGAGGATATATATATATATATACAATATTCTCAATGACGTTTTACACACATGTACGCGATCATCATCATTAAGCGTGAACCGAAATTGTCCTGAATAACACGAATAAGTGTGAAAATGTATTATAATGAAATTATATTCTAGCCAGTTAGTTACTTGTTCCGTTTAGTTACATAAATGAAATTTGTCTGCAGTCAAATGTAATGACAACTCAATAACCATAAACAGGTTCACATACTGTATTTTAAATCATACTCATCGTATGAACGATAATACTCGACTGTCCAAACTGATTCCGGAGAAATGAATAATTTTAGGTGTTATTAGGCAAACAATAAGAATCCCTGAACCAAGATTTCATGGTGATTTGTATTAATCTACAATCTTGAGGAATGAGGCTTCAACCCATGGCACTCTGTGCTAGTATCAGTAAACTTGCCACTGAGCTGTTCAAACCTCGAGTAATCCTACTTTGTGTTATGTCTAATCGATATCATTTGCTAAATCTTCCAATCAGAATCCCTGAATATAATTTTCTTACCCCTCTTCTGCTCTTCCAAATATAGCCTAGCGACTCTAGCCTCGAGTACGTTATGGTCGACACAGCTGTGAGTTAACATAATCTACATCCTTATTGGCTGCCTATAAGCAAGTTTTTCTCTGTTCCCAGTCTTAAGTCCGAATAGATATCAGAAGTCAACATTCTGTTATCCCTATATTTCTATCACCGAGTCCAGCCAACTATAACTGCATCTATTTCAGCCACTCATCAGCCCATATGCAGGAACTATCAAACAACAAGACACTAAACAAGAAATCATATTATCAACACAATCATTTCACTATTCGTAGAGAGTTAAGAAAACAGTATATAATTAGTTAGCAATAGTAAAACCCATAATAATGGTTAATAGATCCAATGGAAGCTTATAATAAGAATATAAAAATAAAGTAATACAGTTATCTACTAATTATACTATAAAAATACTGATAATAATCTGAAAAATAATTCCAAAACTTTCCCAATGCTCGTTCCGTTGTGACATATAAGGCTGACGCTTGAATACTGATCTGCGAGATGATAGTAACGAACATCATATTCTCTAATTCATAGTCAAACTGAATTCTACCGTTCCAGGTATTGGAGGTTGTAAGTAACTTCTGGTTGTTGGGTGGCGTCTAACAGTGGGATTCAAGATGGGCATTTAGCTATCCAAATCTGCTTAAAATGGTTCTAACTTAATGATAATGTCGAGACAATCCGCACAGGATGCGTTTATCATAAAAGTGAATGATAAGTTGCAGTCTTAAACATCATTATCAAGATCCAAACAACCAATGCAAATGAATCAAATTATAGATGTTTATTGATTAGCCCAAAAATATACTCAGCTTCTTGAAAGTAAGAATGATTTAAACTGAATTATTTTAAAACACTTTTCAGCTTAATGGAATGATCACATCAGAGTTTTTTCGAAGATCCCATGTTGGAATGCAGGCCTTCATTTCATTATAACCCAATCGTCTCCTGGAGCACCTTATAACCAAAGTTCATCCTAAGCTTTTGACTAATAGCTTTTTATTCGTTTCCATCTATTTGAAATAAAGAATCCTACATTTTTCAATATTATAAATGGCAAAAGAACCTAGAAACATCATAACGAGGAAGACTAAGGAAAAAAGAGTTTACTGCTTGGATCCCACTGATAGTTTTTTGTAAAACCATGCAGTACAGATTATTCAAATATTAACATCGTTTATTATCGAGCGTATGGGGAAACCTCTTACTGGTTTTTTATCATTTCATGTGATTTCATTAATCCAACTGACTACAGTAAATCAGGGTCACACTACTCACATTCTATTCGTCGACCTATCAATTAGTTGAGCATACATCTCATGAACAGCTTACCAACCTGAGGTGCATTAGTCAATGAATATTAGGTGAGGTCATGCATAATAGCGGCCTAAGTAATGTTTATAATGTTAAGATGGAGTAATATCTACTTATTACATTCGGCAATAAAACATTATTGTTTGATTAAAATTTAGAAAACACTGATCACTTTAATTCTACAATTGTATGATATAATCTGAAGGTTCAAGTTTCTTCTTCATGAAGAATAAGGTTGATGAGATGACCAGTGTTCGTTGATTCCCTACGGTCTCAAAACTAATATAGTCTGTTTGTGACCAAAGACATTTTAATTATCCTTGATATTGCTTATACATATATAAACAATAAAGGCTCTGAAACTCAAAGGGTGAGTTCTGAAAACACTAGTTTTGACAGTTAATAGTCATCTTCAGGAGTGTATAGTCTCATTTTCAGGATGATAATAATCTCTAACCAATTTTGGCTTTCTTATGTTGAGATACTTCCTTCACTTCACTTGATCCCCTTCCACTCTTCAAGTTTTTATTCTGTGCAAAATTCACTTTCTACAGTTTCTTTGTAATTCTTAAATTAATTTCTATGAAAAACATCTTTAAGAAGTCGAAAGACAATGATACCAACTTTGATTTCACAGTTGCATAGCTAGGCGTTTACCACTTTACTTTCTGCTAGTTACCTTAGACCCTTTTATTTATCATCTTGTCTAATATTAAAATAATTATGTGTATCATTCTAACTCCTTTCATGTTGCATTTCATCCTTACCGCTTCCATAGCTTTAAACTGTTACTATTATTTTATTTTGTATTTGAAAGTATTCGTCATTCTCTTTAATTACTTCTCATATCACTATGATCCTATTATTAAGTGTTTCTGATATCACTTCATTTCATTGATATCATTAATTGGTGTAACAAAAACATTTAATTATCTTACTCCATTCATATTGTAATCCGTTGCTAAATTATTAATTTTACAAGGCTCTTGATTCATACATACTTGAAATAAAATTGATAACTGAATGTGTAATAGTTTACCAAAGGTGGCATCTTCGTGCTTCAAAAGTATAAAACTTAACTACTGTACTGTACAGTAACTTCTACTGTACTGTTTTTCAGTTATAGTACAATTTAGAAGCTTTGGATGATGTATTAGACAATTCCTTCTTGGTCTGTATACTTATTAGGTTAAATTTTTCGAGCATAGGTGGCAACGGTTATTCTGGCCACTAGAAATCAATTAACAGCTACAACAATATACAACTTTAACCATAGTGAATAGGTTCAAATTGTTAAACAGCACAAAAGGATACAAAAGGAGAAATCATTCAAGTGTGAAGATTGTTATTACAACTTAATAACTGAATACACATTTGTATTTTAGACAGGATACTATTCAGATGCTTAAATTGAACTCTTTTACTCCATAAAACAACGTTGCTAGATGTTTTAAATTAATAATTGGTTATATTTATTTATTAATTTATCTATATATTTAATATTCCAATGAAACCGAGTTAAGTTGAAAGAGAAAATTCGACTAAAAACATGTAAGCTACTACGAAACGAGAATAATATGAGTATAAGATGACGATAATCCTCATAATGATAACATTAATGGTGAAAACAACAATTTAAATTTTTTTCTTTTCGTTGGAGTTTTGTTCTTTGACTAAACTATTCAGTTCAGAGAACAAAACTCCAGAGAATATCATCCACCTGAGCTACAAATCTTCTACATCATCTCAAAATTAAATTATTTTTTCACACCATTATATTTAGCCTTGGAAATGTATGTATATTTATCATAGATATTATCTGTTATTCTTATTACAAAGAACAAAATTATTCTTATTTAGTACATCAAAGTGTTTGACTGGTAAATTTAT